CGAAACATACTACCAATAGAAATACATTGCTTTTAAAATTGTTCTGTGTGACACGAAAGAAAGGGGAAAATCGTGTTGGTGAACAAGAATCAATAGATTAAATGTCGTGACAATAACACGAAATGCCGTGAGACTGGGTTGTAACTATGGACCTGCTTTCAGCGCCAGGAGGTGTGGGGGCTGCTACTGTAAAGGACTGTAAGCAAGCGTTTTCATGTGCCTCCCTCAATTCAGTTAACTTCCATCTACTATAAACAGTGGTACAGGGATAAGTCCCAAAAACCCAGAAATTACTAGGCATCTAGCACTTCCTGTTCCCTTGTCTCAAAGTCAACAGTTTCACACCTTTCCACATTTTAAAATATGTCAGTAACATTGGCTGTCTTTATCTTAGTGGTGGTGACATGTGTTATGAGACCCTTATGTAGTTATTTTATAGACTAATATAGCTTTTTTACTTTTGGCAATTGCATTAACACTAACAAAATTATAAAGTGGTGTTAATATTTGGATATCATCCTGTTAAACACAACGCTTCATAAATATGTGTTTCTGTTCACCAGAGGTTTTCAACACATTGTGCAACATCATCCCACTCTATCACGTAAATCATCACAACAAAATACAGCAGCAACACACACACACACACACACACACACACACACACACACACACACACACACACACACACACACACACACACACACACACACACACACACTTACACTTATAAGAGGATCATGGAAGGGACTTTTTTGTAACTCCAAGGATTTAACAGTTATCCATATGAAACAGTTGTAAATATGCAGTGGTGTTTATTTGTATTTTGGTATCATTTAGTATAATCACATAAATTCTGTGTTCTTCATTTATTGAAATGTCAATACCTGACAAGGTCGGAGTGGACTAAACAGCGGATAAACTGTGGCGCGCTTACAATAATTGCGCCGCATAAGCGCATAATAGTGCGCCGCATTTGCGCTTCAGATGAGGAGGTGAGGCCCCCTCATAGCGGCATGAACCCGTATGGCACAATACAACTCAGACTGGCTTACCTGTACGTCAATCAAGTGGCAAATGCCATAGTAAGGGTGGATGATAGGCTGCCTTTAAAAAAATTAAAATAAAAGTTTTTTTTTTTCAATGCCACGTAATCTACCCACACTACCGGTTGATCGCGATCGACGTATTGGGCACCCCTGCTGTAGGTGTTGTTGAAGTTACTACAGGCGGTCCTTCTTCTTAATTGAACATATATTGTTCTTTAGCTATCCTGCTCAGGCTAACTTACTGTACACATTACTATTTATTTCCAACAAATTCCAGAACACACAGAAAGATTTAAATGAAAAAGCATGTTTTTCACATAAGTTTGTTGACATATTGCAGCCAACACTGCAATTTGTCTGCTTTTGGGAATTCAGATGTAGAAGTGCAGAATAATATCAGACAGTTTTCAGATGAACCTCTAGACACCCTCTCTCGTTGCTATCTGTTTCCAGTCCAACTAGCCCCGGGCCAGTTAAAGTCAGCTCCACCAGCCCGAGCCACGGTCCAGCCAGCCCCCGGCCAGCAACCAGCCCACTGATCCCCAACAAGGTAAGACACCTCTGCTTGTGTTGTATCAGCGCCTTGGGAAAACTGCAAGACATCTCTGCCCAGAGAATCAAACTTGAGAGTGATCTCAGTTTCTGGGTGGCAAACTTGAGCTTACGGGTAGGGCTGCACGACTCTAGAAAAGTGCTGCTATGATTTCCAGAGAATCTACTGTATGATGAGAAGGCAATTATCCCCCTGTACCTATGACATTTTGTCCGGTTGGTTAATATACTGAATCCCATTATATATGTTTATATGGTCATGTGGCAGAGATTTCCTTGTAGTTGTCATCGTTATTATGGGTTCACCATATTTCGATTTTTCAGGTTTTATTTAGCTGATATCTGTCAGATAGTGTACATTTGCTTTGATTCCGTAAATACATGATCTAGTTATTGTCTTTTGTCAGAATTAGTGTCAGAACCTCTAAAGGTATTTTTATTTCACTGTGTTGCACCACGTTATGTATCTGTGCCCATTTGGTTTAATACTATTTTTTACTTAAGGATGCAGATTATGAAGAGAAAAGGGGCAATGTTCACCCTGCTATTGTTTACACAGAAGAAAAATGGTTGTACAAAATGAGAAAACATAGAGGTAAGACTTTGATTGTTTTTTTGTGTCTAACATATCACTTGTCCTAAATAGAAACATTTATGATACAGGAAGTACAATTATTAACTGGTGACAACACGTCTCCTCTGTAGCCATGCGGAGGGGCTGGTGGCTGCAGAGAGCTCAGTTAGATGGACAGATCGTTTATGCAGGCTGGCTGTTTGGACATCGGTTTACATTTCATTACATAATATGACAAGGGGAATCAATTCAGTTCAGAAACATTTTATTTAGAGATGGGCTCATGCAACTAGTCTCGTTTGTTGATCTTGCTGAAATGGCATTGTGTGGTTTGAACATAGGTTTACACTGCACACAAATTGGCTTTGATCTTCTGCTGCTGATAGTCCTTGGGGAATTTGATTTAATATGGACTTACTTTGCTTTATAGTGAAAAGCTGTTTTAATACAGTTATGTTTGTGTATCAGGAAACATGTCCCCTTACAGTTAATACTGCTTGTATTGTGTTTGGGTTGGTTCTTACTACGGTTCTATTCATTTGCTGCCTATAAGCTGGTTTTATTGTCTTTGAAAATGCATAATATTCAACTATAGTTTTGAATTGAAATGAATGTGAAGGTGATATTCCTTATGCCTGGAAGGAATTTCTTAACACTTCTCTCAAACGTCTACTTGGGCTCAAGGATGAAATGATTTGAATGTGTTGGTCACTGTGGCCTCAACTATTAACTATTTGTATGCCGCAATAAAAAAATCTATTTGCAAGTTAATTTCACACTAGTGTCTTAAAGGACAAAATTATGTAAGTGATGACAGTACATCAAATGGGATTACTGGTATTAAATAGCATAATATAAAATAAATTGAGACCCAATGATATTCAATCGATCAATCAAAGTGTATTTATATAGCCCAATATCCCACATTTTATATTGATCTCATTGGGCTTTACAGTTTATACAGCCTAGAAATACGACCCCCTCTGTCCTGAGACCCTCACATCGTTCAGGGCATCTTGAGTGAATCTCTTCTTTGTGTGAAGCTTCAGGGTGCAAACGAGCTTTAACTTCGCTTATACCCAAAGTTGAAAGTAGAACATCCATTGCTCTACTGCTGTTACTGTTCACTTAGTCTACCCCCCCACGCCTGACCTGATAAAACATCAGAGAGTTGTGTGTGTGTGTGTGTGTGTGTGTGTGTGTGTGTGTGGGGTGTGT